TGATGTAAAACCAATTAAATCATTTTCGAGCTAATGTCTTTCGAGCTCGTGTCTTCGAGCTCATGTCTTCGAGCTAGTGACTTTCGAGCTAGTGTCTTTCGAGCTTCACAGAAAGCTCGATTACAGAAAGCTCGATCACAGAAAGCTCGAACACAGAAAGCTCGAGTACTAAAAGCTCGATCACAGAAAGCTCGAGTACAGAAAGCTCGATTACAGATGCAGGGTATAGACGGATAAGTTGTCGATAAACCCAATCCCATAAGTATAACGCCGGCGATCATTAATTTTTCAGTCAATAAATAATACTGATATATGAATAGTAGTATATTTGCTACGAATACTACAAACATATTGACATAGATTATATATTTAGTCCAAAATTTTATAGAAATAATAAAATTGATGAAATTGCAAATTGTTATAACACCTGTCAATAAGCCTAACATAAGAGAGCTCTCGGAGGCCACGACGTGTTGGTATGAGTTGGACAAAAATGTTGGGATGAGTTGAATGACCACAATCATTAAACCACAGTACGGCGCGATAATCATAACTCCAAATGCTGTGTAAATATAGTCCCATTTGGTGACAGATTTTGTGCCATCGATTGCTTGTTTTGCTCGTATGGGAGGAATATATTTGCGATACAAATGTAATACTATTAACAAAACCGCTGATATTAATAGTAAAGCGCCGTTTATAGCAAATGGTGCCTCGAGTCGCGATTTACTAACAATGTGTGGATTAAGTGAATTGGAGGAATATATTTGCGATACAAATGTAATACTATTAACAAAACCGCTGATATTAATAGTAAAGCGCCGTTTATAGCAAATGGTGCCTCGAGTCGCGATTTACTAACAATGTGTGGTAATTCACTTAATCACCTGTGTAAGTTTCACTTCTATAAACACTCTTTTCCCCGACTCTAATCCCCGCGATATGTACACGGGTTTCGCTTTTTCTTTCTCATTGGAGGGTATATATCTGAGCTGAAATCTGCCCATATCTCTACCAACCAAACAACCACTGCTGTGTCAAATCCTAATTAAATAACCACAATTAAAGTATATTAGTGTTCAATTGGTACCAATCAAACCTCCGCATCCATAGCCGCAAAGACCAACGATAGTAAATAATACGCGAAGATTTGGACAAATGGGTATCACAGCAACGGTTACGGCCATCACAAACACAAGAAATGTCACAATTAAATGCCGGTTAAGGTATTCAAAAACATAACCATCTTTATATAAAAATAGGAATTAAATTTTATTTAAAACTTAATAATATTATAAATGAATAATAAATTTGCAAATGCATTTTGATATAACAATACTTACTAATTAGCGCTCCGGCAGTATAACTGAAATAAAAACACATATTAAGTGAATTAGTGGACACATTCAAAGTGAAGATATTTGTGAGAAAAGGGGCTGAGATTAGGGGCGCTATACATGTGCCCAAAGCGAAAAAGAAAGAGTAACCTCCCATATATAGACTCGACTTTGCTGCCCATATCTCTACCAACCAAACAACCACTGCTGTGTCAAATCCTAATTAAATAACCACAATTAAAGTATATTAGTGTTCAATTGGTATCAATCAAACCTCCGCATCCATAGCCGCAAAGACCAACGATAGTAAATAATACGCGAAGGTTTGGACAAATGGGTATCACAGCAACGGTTACGGCCATCACAAACACAAGAAATGTCACCATTAAATGCCGGTTAAGGTATTCAAAAACATAACCATCTTTATATGAAAATAGGAATTAAATTTTATTTAAAACTTAATAATATTATAAATGAATAATAAATTTGCAAATGCATTTTGATATAACAATACTTACTAATTAGCGCTCCGGCAGTATAACTGAAATAAAAACACATGAAGATAAAGGATATGTCAGATGTAGTTGTGCTCAATAATACTTGTAAATCAGTCAATGCCGGGCCAATTATGCTGAATACAAGTCCCTTTATATATTATCTAGACAGATTAAGTAAATTAAAATAAAATTTGTCATAACTTACATATGAAAAAGTACAGAAATATAGAGCCCATGTAATTAACTGTTTGTATTTGTTGTCCAATTTATTTACATCACTATTTATAGAGACAGTTATTGAACGGATCTCAATCTCTTCAGACATTAATATTGTCTATATTTTAAGTAAATGCCTACAAGATATGCACACAATTAAACACCAATTTTTTTTTGTTATAAACAATTAAATTGTTATTGAGGAAGTTATAACTAACAATATTTAGCTCATTTTTGTCAAGTCATTTTTGAGCAAATTAATCATGATAATCACTTAATTATGCATTATCGATATCGATAAAGCCAGAAGTAATTACACATCTAACAATTAATAATAGTTAATTTATAATAAGAAGCGCTTAATTAGAATATTGCTAATCATTAAAAAAAATAAGTCATATAATACTTAACATATTACTTAACTTGCAATTATTTCAATATTTATTATACTTAAAACAATTACATAGAAGAGCAGAATTAAGTAAGAAATGGAGACAAAAGAATATGAAAACGTATTGTATAATAATTATATGAGCTTATTAATAAGTTATTATATACACCAAATTTCAAACGTATTCCTATGACCAAATCAAGTCTCTATTACAATACTATCGATTCATAATTGTTGCTATTATTAAACCAGAGGTAATTAATTAATGCAATTAAAGTCTGTTTAAAATTGAATATTAATTTATTGTTTAACAGTGCAGTATAATTTAATTTTATTTAATAAATCTCAGACAAATAATTTATTGTTTGTTATTTTTTCAATAATGCTATATAACAAATTGCTTTGTGCTTCCATTACAATTACCGAGTACTTGTTTTAAAGAGCCAAAATAAAACTTAACATTAGATAGATTTATAATTTAGATAGATATATTACATTGATTTTGATAAACAACAAAAATCCACTCCAATTTAAATGTTAAATTCTATGCAAATATATGCCATTATTAGTATCAGAATTTGCGTTATTTTTGTCCCACTCCTGGCGTTCGGCTGAACCAAATGCGGCGAACACTAGACCCCCCACAACAGCCATAGCGCCCGACCCGTAGAACATGTACGACCACTGTTGCCGTACGTGCAGCTCATCCGTATCTATCAGCCAATCGATGGTCAATGGCGTAAGTATGGCACAGGTCAGGGCCACCGTTTCGCATAATGCATATACAGTGGCCATGTATTTTGTAGTCATATCTGTTTGGAAATACATTTTTAATAAGTTTTAGTGGAGAGAGAGAGAGAGAGAGAGAGAGAGAGAGAGAGTATAGAATGCCGATGGCCACCCTCCTGCAAAACCATGCTCAGTTAGGTATTTGGACAGAGAGAGAGAGAGAGAGAGAGAGAGAGAGAGAGAGAGTATTAAATGTAAAATACCTGCAATAACAGGGATATCTCCGCCAGAATGCATGCCAAACAAGAAAACACCCTGATATTTGTGTTAAATAAATTAGTAAATTTGTTTCTGCAATACTGTTTGAACATAATTTACAATCATCAATAGTGTAATGACAAGTGTTGGCTCGCAGTTCGCCAGTGGTATTGCAATTAAACAAACGGCTGAACCAAATGTGGCTTTAATTATAATTAGTTTTTAAATAGTAATTGAAATCAAATTTAAATCTGTTTAATAGTTAAATACCAATTGTTTCAAATATTTTCCTCAAAACAGTTTTACTGATTACATGTTTGCTGTGAATATAGTCAGCGAGAAAACCACCCGTAAATAAACTGGAATAATATGAAAAATGTAAAGTATTATTGTTAATTCGTAAATGTTATAAGTTTGAGTGTAGTTTTAATTATCTCATATAAATTACATTATGACTTACCTTATTGTAAGTACAATATATACAATAGCATTAATGAGTCCATTCTAAACATTAGAAATATACGGAATATTTCATTATTAAAATTAATAACTAGTTGTGATTTAATGCCTTTATCTTATCACTCTATTTACAGAGCATTGGGTATTAACATTATTTATTGCCTGAATGTCAGTGTCGTTGACATACCTGTGCGGACGAGTAGTCAAACACTGTTTGCAAATACGATGGCATTTTAAACGTGATCAAAATAAATATCCAGTTTACGGCAAATTTGACCACTACTGTAGCCAAGACTGGCATAGATGTGAGCACTTGAAGCCATGGAACTGATTGGTGTTTATGGTGATGATGACCATGATGTTTATGATGGCTATTATATGTGCGAATGTGATTTAGCTCGTGGGACGAGATCCACGGGTGATCTTTAGGCTCGCTTTTGATGGTTACCACCCAACACAACAGCCATACGCCCGCTATTAGAGCTGACAAATAAATTATATGATTTTAATCGTCAATACTCTAGATGTGTCAATGAATTTGATTACCAGGGACATAGAATGCCGATGGCCACCCTCCTGCAAAACCATGCTCAGTTAGGTATTTGGACAGAGATGATGTGATAATAGTGCCAATATTGCTGCCAATCAACGGGAATGATAGGATAACACTGTCATCAAATAGAAAACATTTTAATCCGTATAAATGTTTAATTATTTATAAAGAGCTAATAAATAATAGATTTACTTTCTAATAATCATAATCTCACATAAAAACCTATTGCATACCTGCGCTCGTAATCGGGCACCCATTTGGCAAATAAGGCATAACACGCGGGAAACATTAAACTCTGGCCAACGCCCAGCACTACACGACTGGCCAAAAGTAGCCAATAGGCGTGTGAGCGGACAATCATTGGCGTACACACATTGATCACAATAGACACCACAATACTGACAGCGCACAGCCATTTGGCACCAAACCTTTCGGCCAGTCGGGCGCCCACCACATGAAACAATATATAGCCGTAGAAAAATGAGTACACAATCACTTGCTGTGTGTGCGGATCCCAATCAAACTCGCCATCCGTCTGATGCGATTGCACTGAGTCTATGGGTTGGCCGTTGTTCACACACACGTCGGATTCGGCAGTAGTGGCCGCACGGGTCCGATTGAACGACGACATGGCCACCATTGCCACGCTTAGGTTGAATCGGCTGTTGTATAGGTCGAGTGCGGCCAACAGAGTCATGGCGGCCACGATATAGCGCACGGGAACGAACGATGGCTTATCAACCTCTTCATCTCCACCACCGCCAACGTTATTATCATCAATGCTTTGATCCACAGATTCATTGTTTTTGGTGATATTTTTGGATTTCATTTTTAAATATATGTTTTGATGAGAGTTTCAGTGTTTTATATAAAATAACTTTTTATTGTCATTCAGTGTTAACGGCACTTATACCTGAATTGTGACCGATGTTATGAGTTAGGCTATAGACCCCTTATCTCTCTCCTACACCCAATAAAACACCTGATAATCAGTAAATACTGTACATGAAAAACATAAATATAAAATAAACTCTCATACATCGTATATCATTTATCATATATCAAGTACTCTGTCATCAAACGTGATGTTTGTATTACAAGATCGCAAATAAGTTTAACATAAACTGTTATATAATAGTGAGTTTGAAACACAAAAAAGTTTTATTCATTTATTGTCAAATAAAATTATTTAAACAAAACGTGCATAGTTTAACAAACTCATTATAAACTTCAAAAAACTATTAGTAAGCAAATTCATAATTGTATTAATAAATCATTGTACTAATTATCTTGGTCATTTAGGGTAAACCAGCTATGTCATCTCTATACACGTCCATTTCGTTAACTAAATGTGTGGACCAACCGGTTGTGGCACTCGAGGGGCGACTTGAGCGCCGCCGAAACTAGGATCTGATTGAAGAGATCTCTTTGTGCATTAGATCCGCCCAAACATGACATGTCGTATCGGACGCCCAGTAATAGATCTACACATTTCTCGTACTTCTCCCTACTGTAGGCTATTATGGCGTCCATTATAGCACTGGTAGTCTTCAGCCACTGGTCATCGGCAGCCTTATTGTCGGCAATTTTAGCCCGTAGTTCGTTGGCGGTGTCCCAGCGGTCGGCGCCCACCGATGCCAGCAGATAATGAATATCAAAAAAGCCTAAACCGCTGTTTGAAATGGTCTGGTTCACCAATTCGTACACCTGTTCCCAACGTCCACCCAATTCGCCATCCATGAGCTGATCCTCTTTCAGACCCAACCGATACAGCAGTTGTGTCGCGTCCACCAAATTACCCATCCGTCCATTGGTTCGCGCCAGAGATGTCACAATCTGGTCGTCAAACACCTGAAGCGCCCGCTCGTACTGACCGGCTCTCATGTGGTGTAACGCCAAATGCCAGTAGTTATGACAGGCGATGAAATTGCATTTTTGCCAATCGGACTCCCGGGCCGTCAGAAACTGGACGCCCCGCTCAGTCTGGCCGTACGTTTCGTGGATGTGTGCGATGGCGTGTGCGGCCCAACCGTCGCACTCGTTCATAGCCAGCGCCAGACTCGCCTCCCGTTCCGCTCGGGCGTAGAAATGTGTCTCTTCTAAGCCAAACGCGTACATCCCGTGAACGTAGCCCTCGAGCGGTAGAGATCGACCCCTCCAGTGGGGCACCACTCGGGCTATGGAGTCTCTGAGCTGTTCCTGTAGGCCCCGATCGAAATACATGCCGTGAGCCATACGTAAGGCGTGCATATCTGTCGGGTACAGACATAAGATCTCCTCCCAGACTCGGGCGGCCCCGCGAGCGTCACCCACTGCCAGTTGCCTGACAGCGTCCACGTGAAGCACTTCCCGGCGTCCGTATGTCTCTCGATTACTGTCCACCAATCGGATCAACTCGTCATACGCTTTACGAGACTCAGGCGACGCGTTGTCGGCGGTGATGGAGCCCAACTCCAGCCCCAGAGTCAGCGCCTGACCCAACACGAACTCCGGGTCCGCGACCCGCATATCGGCCAATGTGTTGGCAAAACCGCCGAAGTCCTGGTCGTCGTACAGACCGCACAATTGGTTGAGCGCCGAGTCGTATAGCTTAGCCGCCGAATCGCTAGCAGTACTCGTCAACTCCAGACCCTCGGCCCGCCAGTCGGCGCAACCCCTTAGTTTGTGTTTCAGCATGTATTGTAAGGTTGAGTAAACAACTTGATCACAATTTATGAAGCACAGTGCAAGTAAATGATATGCATTCTATGCCAGTGTTGGTTCATATGAAACAAAATAAACAAATTGATAATTTTGACGTATGATCATTACGTTATGGCATTGATAGTAATGTATGGTTTCTTTAATTCACATATCATTGTGATTGTGACAATTTGTGATAGTGTTATTAAGTGGTTTGTTAAATTTTGAGTTTATGTTATGTGGAGTCAGTTTAGAATAGGAATGGGATAATACATTTTAAAAATTGAAGCATACATACATTTTAATCGTGCTTTATGCAACTTGTGATATTAAATCAAATCAAACTTTATTGGAATCTATATTAGTTGATATCTTTATTTAATATCATTTACATTAATATCAATACATTATACGATAAATTCAGTGCACTTCAGTTAATCGTGGATAATAACTATTTTGATTTTTATAAAAATTAATCAATTAATTAAATATTAATCTAATTTAAATCAATGTGGTAAATTTAAATGATAATTGTATAACTAATTGTCTACATTATTTATATGAAATCTATCATTTGTAATGTTATAATTAAAATTAATTTACATGTAGTTAAGTGCTTAACTTTACTTTAAACGATGTTTTTTGTATACTTATTGGTCGAAATGTTCGGTTTTGTCTTCGGGCGATCGGCCAATAAAACTGATTTCTGGCCACATATGCGGTAAGGAGTTTGTGTGTATTGTTTGCCTCTTTGTTAAGCGATGCAGATATGAATAGGGTGACCACCAAAAATGCCCGTAAAAAAGGACAGCTGACAAAAATATAGCTCTCAAAAAAGGACAAAAAAGGACACACAAAATTATTTAATGAGATTTGTATTAATTCGACAAAAATTGTTTATTATTATATTTTTGTGAAGATGTTTCAATCGTAGTACTATCTTATCATTTTGAATATGCTCTTAAAATTTAATACAAGTATTTTATTGTAAACATCTTTAAAAAATTATAACAAAAAATATTTTTTAGGGCACAATTTCAATGAAATTTCCAATAATTTTTAAAATATTAACCTTTTTATATCGAAATTAATAAAACTCAAAAAAGGACAAAGTATAGTCCTTTCCGACTACTCGAAAGGACGCTGTCCTGAACGGTCGAAAAAAGGACAAAACCCATAAAAAGGACGTTCTGGTCACCCTAGATATGAAACCAATGAGAATGAATGCCAAAAGGGTTATGATTGCAGCGTAAAGTACAATAAGCCATACGACAAATGATAACGTTTGAAATACAAGGATATATGTGATTACACAACCCATTGTACTTAATAGTGACCACACTATACCTATATATGTAGACCAATAAGAATTGTTATATTCATTAATTTCAAAATAAATACTATTTAATGAATGCATTATTTTCTTGATATAAACCAAATTAAGTGTTTTGTCATTCAATACTTGTTTATAGAGATTATTATTAATTGAATATAATTTGCATTTAATATACAAATCTATAATATAATAGTGAACTATTAAGTATAGTGTTTGTGGAACAGCATAGAAATCCATTAGAGTTGCCAACATTATCTGCGGTATACCGTATATAATAATTTCCATCCAGGTGCAGGTATGCATGTATGCCGCCAATGCGAACAGTGTATAGACTGGTGTAAAATATAGCCTAGTAAATTTGACCATCTTACATAACATATCACATTTTCGGGATATTTTTCTCAACCACTGGCTATCTGTGAGACCAATGTGTGCGGGAGTTATATAACCGGCTATCATATCAAATACTAATAGGAATGAGGGTTTTATAGCATGTTTAAAGTTATAGTAAAATAATAAGCGATATAATACATTCATTGTTGCCCATAAAATTATAAAATAGTTTAGATGACTTGGAAGGCCCATTAGATAGGCCATATCACCCATCACCACTTTAACATGATAATTGTCTAACTGTACGAGCATGGTTACATATGTTATTTGAGTGAGATATACAGCAAAGCATGTGTTAATTATGATTGGTTTGTATATGAAAGGTCGTTGTATGCTTTGTTCAAAATCGCTCTTGGTCATACATAAACCAATTCTGTACAAGTGGTTGGACGCAGAAAGAGTGATTAACTCATTTGGTAGGACTTCATTTACATCGATAGTTGAATCCATTTTGTTAGCAAAATAGTATTTAAATTGATTTATATTCTGCAGCAATTGTTTTACAAATATTGATTTGAATGAGTCATTATGTTTCAATTAATTGAGATCTGGTGCAGTCGCTGTGAAATAATAATAATTAATTACTTTATCAATGAAAAAAGTATATTTTATAATAAATAAATGATACGTTTAGCCAGCGCTGGGACTTGGAGTTAGGGCATTTTATATTAAAAAATTTGAGATGTGTCTTACCTAAAAGTGATACATTAATACTTACAAGTTAGTGTTGGGAACTAAAAAGTACACAAGATAGCCAAACGTACTTCAAATGTTAAAGTTTGAATGATTGCATCAAACTGGTGATCATGAAATAAATAAATTATAAAAACACATAAATATCCAATTATCAGTATATTTTATTTAAATACATTATTTTATGTGTGTTATTAAATGACTGCATTCCACGTGCCCTAATGTCCGTAATTATAGGTTTTTGGGAACATTATTTGTAACATAATTAATATAACACTTATTATAGTAAATATTAAGAGACAGTTAGATAGTTATAAAAACATAAAGAACCTTATACAATTTGAGAACCATAAGTAGGTTATTTTGAAAAATTGTAATAGTTAAATTAATGTTATCAAATAGAAGTGTATAATTAAAACTGTTATTGAAACAATGTTTATCTACAATATTTATTAATGGTATTAAAATATACAATTTAACAATTTAATTTTAATGTTATACTATATTTTAATAAATATATTTTTCAACTATTAAATAATACATACTACAATAATACATTATTAAATAAATAATACTATTTAATTATATGTATTAAAGAACATTATTATGATCATTTATTATGAAAAACAATAATTAGTACACGATAGAATATTGGAAAATAGGTATAATTTAGATTATATAAGTATAAGTTATATAAGTAAAACATATTTTAATTTAATCTAATATCTATTTTGTGCCAAGAATACAGTTTCTATGCTTTTTATATTCTAACGACATTATATTTATCCAATTCAATAAATATAAATAATTTACAAACCATTTCTGGCATTATATCTATTCATTAATTTATACGCTTTGTTTGCCTCGTAATGTATTGATGCGGACATATAACCAGTGAAAGCGAATGGCAT